ACACACACACACACACACACACACACACACACACACACACACACACACACAGACACACACACACACAATGCCTGGTTTAAATAACTTTATTGAACAACAGGAAACATCGTCTGACCCTCGTCTGTCGCAGGTGAATTTTATTTTCTGTCACCTCTCCTCCAGCCAGGAGGGGGCGTCCATGCTGGGAGGTGTCTTGCAGCGTGTTGGATGTTTTGTTGGAGGAAACGATGACATGAGGAACTGTGAAAGGTGATGGCGCTGTGGAGCAGCCATAACTGCTTCTGAAGCACTTTGACCTGCGGAGACAGAAGAATAAATATCTGTACAGTTCACACTGAGCTGAAGGACAAACGGTTTGTTTACACATGTTAGCAGACGGGACGTGAGCGGCTATGAAAAGTCAAAGTAATCATCAAATTATTCTTTCAAAAGCAGGTTTTGTTATTTTACCAGGTTTTTATCCTACTGATGTAATAATTAGTTTTTTGATGATGTCATGATTGATACGTTAAATAAATACAATAAATACCTTGTTTGTAAATGATCATATTTGATATCTTCGGCTCCAAGAATATTTTGTACCAGACACTCGTGTTTATGGCATCGATGGGTGGAACCATGGTATCGAGGTCCCACCCACACACACTCTCAACCAATCCGGAGTCAGTGTCAGCTGTCAATCATGACGCCTCTGCCATCATCAAATAACTAATTAAACCAAACTGATGAGAAACACTTGAACAAACATCAGTGAGAAGAACGAGCTGAACGACAGAAACAATTTTACAAACATTTATTTAACGTACATTATTTAGTTTGGTTAATGAGCTATACTGTGGTCAGACACCAGGGGGCGACACAGATGATTAAGCTTTACTTTTGGGACCTTCCACTAGAGGGCAAACGTGGCGTCACCAGAGGAAGTAACTTCAGAGATCGTGGCTTCATCGTATAAAGTCACGATATAGATACAGATATAGTAGAGGTCGTGCACACATCATCATCTGTATCACGTGTGCACTGTATCAGTGCTATTAAATCAGATTGTGTTTATAGACGTGAAGCAAAGTGTTTGGATTTAAATAAAATGTACTTTAACCCTGGGAGGACTTTCTTCTTCTGTGGTGTCAGACGCCACTGTGACGCCTCCTCTCTGCTCCGCCTCCTCCATCATCTTCTCTGATGAAACACAAAACAGCTGTTAATCAACCAATCAGATCTTTTGGTTGTTCCTGCTTTATTTTCAGCTCGGTTTTAGTGCCTTGCTCGTGGGTTTTATGATTCAGAGAAATGCAAAAACTGACAAAATAATTCTATTTTTAGTTTCTTCTCATTCAAGACAAATAAAATAATAATATAATAATAAACAAATAAAGTCTCTGTGTCACAAACAAGATGATTTCTGATTTATTTTGTTTTAAGATGAAGTGAAATTCTCAAACTGGACTGAAGGGGTCAGTGTGGACGAACAGCACCACCTAGTGATAGATGTACGTACATGACAACATAGATCCATGTATATACTGTAAGTATAAAAGTGTGGCTGACTTCCTCGTTATATTAAAATGTGTTTATATAAAGTTCTGCTCAGGAACAGGACGATGAACTTTGTAGAACAAGCTCAATTGTTCATTTCTAATAAATCATTTCATGGTTCAGGTTCACAAACAGGAGCTTTTTTCAGATTTCAGTAAATGTGAGATTTTTTATTTAAAATTCAGATGTTGAGGTTGAACATGAAATTCTACATGAAGATAATTAATATTTGTCCAATTTGAGTGTGTGTGTGTGTGTGTGTGTGTTT